TATCTAAAACCCTTACCGAGAATGTTTTTAGTCTTTGATTCATCTCATTAATTTCACTGCTAGGAATCTGTCTTTACAGAGATACAATTTACTGTTTATGTACAAGATGTTCATTGCTATACTGTTTAGCAAAAAAAGAGATATGATATAAATCTGCAACAATAAAAGGTACATAAATTAGGGTTCATACAAATGGCAGGTTATCCAGCTGCTAAAAGATGTGTATCTATGAAGAACTGTTAATGACAGATAAAATGTTTCTGATACTACACAGGGAAAAACAGTAGGATTTTAAATACTATATTATGACCCAACAGCAATATGTAAAAAATACATAGGCACATATATACCAGAAACACTTCTGCCAGCATCTCTGGTAGTTAAGAACATGGGCTTTGGAAACAAACCGACCTGATTCAAATCCCAGCTGTGCTGCTTTCCAGCTGTGTGACCTTGGGCAAGTTACTTAACCTCTCTGTGCCTCAGAATGCTCACCTGGAAAACGGGGATAACAGTACCTACCTTACAGAGTTGAAAAGATATTAAATGAGATCATTCATGCAAATGGCTCAGCACCGTGCCTGGCACACTGCAAGCACTCACTAACTACTAACCATTATTAATTAGCATCATTAGCACAGAAAACAAGTGGGAGGAAAATGCACCCAGATGCTAACAGGGGTTATCCATCTCTGGGTGGGAGGGTTCCAGGTCCTTTAAATTTTCTCCTTGTTTTTCCAAAGTTTCTATAATAAGTATCACAGAATCAGAAAGAAAAACATGTTACGAGAAAGTATGGCCGATTAATTATTAAGTTATTTGCTACATGCGGTAGTGGATAAAGGCAGGGAGGGGCCAGCACGTGGCGCAGAGTGAGCACTGCCCTTCACTCGTTTCTAGCCGTTTCTCGGTGCGCTGTCTCCGCCGCCCTCCTTCACAAGCCTCGCTACTCACAGGTGCAGTTCCTCGGAAGCCGTCCTCTCCGGTGTTGGTCACAGGAAACTCGCCCTGCCAAATGTTGGCATAATGCTGGCCTTTGGGCTGCAGCTTGTTGCCCCAGGGGAAGAGCCTGCCAGAAGAGACACAGGCATCAGCCCGTCAAACGGGCACAGGCTTCTGGATTCAAGGCCAGAGGAGGAAGGCAGGGAAAGAGAGAACACTGCTTGCTTGCTCCAAGGGAGCTTTTCTTTTCTTTTTAATTTTAAATATCTAAATACCTAAAGCTTTTAATCAGCATTTTTTTAACTTCCACATAACCAGTTCCTGTCAAGTTCACAACAACCTCAGTCTCTCTGGAGGACTCAGGAGGCCTGAAATAAATCACATAACTAAAAGAAGGGCTTACAGGAGGCTGAGAAAGCAGACATCATTCTGGACTTATATGGTAGCATGATCAGGCACCACCACACTGCACTTTCGTACAAAGCCTTCACTATTTTAAGGAGCTTTTCTTGAAGATGGGACCCAAACACAAGTTTTCTGTCTCACGGCTCTGGAAGCAGAGAAATACCGCTGCTTCAGGAGATGCCTAAAATAAGAAAATCCTAAAAGCAAGGCAGCCTGCTAGGAGGCTCTAAGGAGGACCTGTGACACTGGCGGGGCTGAGCTGCTGCAGCCACTTCACCAAACATGTGGCTTTGGGGGCTGTGAGGGGTCGTGACCCATACACAGTGTTTCCTTAGTAACGTCCTGGAGATGAAGAAAGCCCAGTAAGAAAGAACAGCTGGGCTGGCTGTGGTTTTAAATCAACTTTCCAGCCAAAGGAAGTCCTGTCGCTTTAGAAAAGGTCAACACACAGTTAGGCAAGATGCGAGCCCCCAGGTACCTATTTTGCAGGCCTCCTCGGCAGCTGTATTCCCACTCAGCTTCCGTGGGCAACCGCTTCCCTGCCCACGTGCAGTAGGCCATGGCGTCGTTCCAGGACACATGGAGAACCGGGTGATCTGGCCTGGGGAACAGCGGGAACAGAGTGAGGAGGGCGAGGACTGGAACAGGAAGCAGAGCCGGCTTCTGCAAAGCCCGGCATCACCTTCCCTTCAGTCTGACGCTGAGGTGGCCCTGGGCCCCAAACCAAGCCCCAGCCACATCGTATCTGTCACCCTCCTCCGTTGGTTTCTGACATTCCAGGCTTGTGAATAGGCTGTAATTCCTCATGGAACAAGTTTGGGCAAGTCAAAACATTTCTTCACTTTGAAGGCAGGCCTGGACCTCCAGAGAAGCTCACGTGGTACGATGGGTGTGGAGGTGCACCAGCCAGATCCCTCTCTGAGGGAGGAGTGCTCGTCCAGCTGCTGGCAGTGGCATCTGCAGAAGCCTCCAGCTGTCAGCTCCTTCAGGAGAGCTGCGAAGAGCCCCCTCAGAGCCACTGATGACCAACCACAGCTGGGCCACAAAGGCACAGCCCTGTGAGCTCACTACAGCTCATCGTGGGTCATCTATACCCCAGGGGTCTCCGAGGGATCTCCTGGGACTCCCTGGACCCCCACGGTCGTCTTGGCTTCTCCCTCAGCCCAGTTCTGCTTCCGCCCCACCCCTTCCGCGGGTGTGGATCCCTAAAGAATATTCTACCCATATGGCCATTTTGATGATGTGGATTCTTCCAATCCACGAGCACAAGATCTCTTTCCATTTCTTTGTATCATCTTCAATTTCCTTCATTGATGTTTTACAGCTTTCAGAGCACAGGTAACCTCCTTGTTCAAGTTTGTTTCTAAGGTATTTTGTTATGTTTGATGCCATGGAAATGTTTATGCCAGTTACAAAATTCTGGTTTTTGAAGCGGAGAAAAAAAAGTGAATGGAGGGTCGCAAATGGCAAAATATCCACTTTTCTTGTATTCCTTTGCATACATATGCTGCATCTTCTTTATTCATTCATCTATTGATGTGCACTTACGATGCTTCTATATCTTGCAAATTAAAAATCATGTTGCTGTTAATAGCCCGGTGTATGTATCTTTTTGAATTAATTCTTATTTTGTGGTTGGCTTTATTCCTACGATAACTATGTTAAGTTTAAAAAGCTAAAGCTCCAAACATTCTTAGAAATAATGAATAGTATATAAACGTAAATTTAAAAATATATGCAGTATATTGTGTATATGTATTTACATGCAATATATTGTCTATGTGCAGTCAAATTGTAATGATTCTACCTAATAAAACTGAAAAATGGAAGAAAAAAAATAGAATACTCTGCCCAAGCTCTATCTCAGCGTCTGTTTCCAGAGAACCCAATCTGGGATACTTGGCTTTGAGCTTTGTGTCTTTCTACTACAGATGAGCCAGCTATATTTGACTCACTCTAGCAGATTCCAAGTGAGTCTTTATTTTTTCTAAAGGTATAGAGGGGTACGGAGAGGTAGGGGGAAAGTCTGAGAACAAGAGGATAAACTTGCTCATTCTTCCTCAGGCGGACTCGACATTCCTAGTCCATTTCTTAAACATCTTTGAAATTCTCTACAGTAATTACACCATGACTTTCATTCATTCTTTCAACAAATGTTTACTGAGGACCTATTATGCGCCACTCACTGTTTGCAGCACTGATATTAAGACACGCACTTTTATCAGAGGAAGGACTCAGTGGATCAAATATTTTCGACTCTGGGTTTTCCTCAGCTTTTTGTTCTACTGTTGTTCAGGAAAGAAGATACTCATTGGTCGTCAACCAGAGGCCCCTAAGAATCTACCACTTTCCACCTTACAGTCTATTTCTACCACGGAGGCTGCCAATTCAGGCTTTGAAAGATTTCTGACATTTGTCAAGGGGCTATATCCCTCAAGCTGAACTTCATGTACTCCCAGCTCCCTGACAATGAGAGCAATAACCAGGAATATTGCCAAAAATAGAGGTTTGAAAATCCTATCTGAAAAACTGGGTTAGGAGAACAGTTTTCTTGGGGAGTTGCAATGCTGAGTCCTGACCCAAACCTTTCTCCATCTCCAGGGCTAAAAGTGCTACTCTATTTTCGCTTGAGATAATTATTTCCTTGCCACCCTGGAGACATGCTGACCGACTTGCAGCTCTGAGGTTTTTCAGTCAGACGGCAGCTTCAAAGTATGTCAGCCCAGGACTAGAGACCCCAGGAATCCTACACCCGAGGCCTGAAGTTCAACAGTGGCCTCCTGGCAGGACACCACCACTTATCTGTAAGACAGACAAGTCTTCTTCCTCATAATGGTGCACTCATGAGAGAGAGCAAAATGGACTGGCTGTAAAGGTTAAACATGTCATGAGATAAGGTGGGGAAATTTGCAAGAGGGAACTCTTTGACGGGCCAGATGAGGGAGGAGAGAGGCCACTTATTAAGAGCCCTCCGTGAACCAGCCGCCACGTTTGGGTCTGTACAGACATTATTTCCTGCCACCCAGTTTTCCTACCAACCAATCAGAGTCTGTCAGACTCACACTTTTAGAGAAGATGGCCATTGAGTTCCTTCTCAACATCAGAGGAATCTACTTTGGAATGAGACATGTCATCTGGGGAAAAAAAACAAAACACCAGCCTCACCTGTGTACAACTGTCGAGTCAGGCCCTTCTGGGTGTCTCCAGTTAGCGCCTTTAACAGGTAACCACCAGGGAGCAGCTGCAACCTCAAAGCAACCCAGAAAGAGCTCAGGTTAGCTGTGATGACTGTAGGAAATCACTGACTTAGTACTGACAGGGGGAAAAAAAAATCTTACTTATGGTCTTCAACTTCCATTTGAATTACCAAATACCCTCACCAGAATATCAAAACTAAAGATTTATATGTAACTAATCTAACAAAAAAAGTATTATATCATAAAGCACCACAGTGACCAAATAAATACATATCTAAATGGTGTGTAAATCCAAGAATTTTTAAAAGATGCACTGCTAGCTAATCCTCTAATCTCTAATGAATGAGGCAAGTAGTATCACTCCTACTTAAAAGATGGGGAAGCAGTGTTAATCTTACCATCAAGTGCCAGGTTGAAGGTCAACCAAGGTGGTCAGAGACCGCGCTGAAGCGAGGGGTAAAGAGCTAGAGTGTGTTTTCAAAAGACCCTGGTTAATTAGCTGTGTGGCTCTGGGCAAGGTCACTGCTTGTCTGGCCCCAGAGTCCTCATCTGTGAAATGGAAGCAGGCCCCCTGCTTCACCGACCTCACACGGAGAAGAGGCTGATTAGACAGGATAGGACTGGGAGGTGCTCAGCGAAGGTCCTGTTCCAGGCCCTTCCCTCCCACTCTGCAGTTCTGTTAACACAAATAACAGTATCAAGTGGTCCTCCTTTAGTGATCGATTCAGAACTGGGCTTGGGAGTCACTCAAAACAAGATGTGAATCAAGGCTCGGCAACTCCCGATGTAAACCTCGGCAGCCTGCTGAAACTCCCCAAGCCTGTTTTCTCATCTGTCGGTGAAGACAGTAACAATGCCTACCTCAGAGGTTATTATGAGAAGGAAACAGAACACACTAAAGGGCTAGTGACTATGCCCAGCACTTGGCAAGCTCAGTAAAGGGAACCAGTCTCAACCATGGCCTCGTGACAGGCGGGGAGAGAGTTACCAAAACATCACTACCATCAGGGATGCTAATACTAACGAAACGAACAGAAGTTTGCAAATGATTCTTCTAATACAAACTAGGGCAGACTCAAGGTTACCCCCAAGACAGTGTTACTCTCAGTCATCTGCATCCCGATGAGCTGCGCTGAGTGGAAGGGAAGGGGCCGTGTTCTCGCTAACAATTGCAGCAATCACTGAAAACACCAGACCCTGTTCTTGTTCTTTTTCCACATCAGCACAATCAAAACATTCATGGTATTCCAATCCCACTTTGATGGAAAAAGCCAAATTCTTTTATGTTTCAGCAAAAGAGTACTGTCCTTAAAGGACACTACTGCCAACTGTTCTCTTTTTTCCGAGAGCCGGAGAGGTGACAGGCACGGCTTCTTTCTGTTTCTCCTGTGGCACTGCAGCATCTTTCCTCGGGGGATGGTCTCACTGACTACACTGCTCCACGTTTAGGTGCTGGTGACAGGTAATTCATTCCAGGTCAAGAGAAGATGTGCAGAGAAAGCCCAGGTCCTCCTACTCTTGTGTTGCAGCATCTTCAAACCACTCCCCCAGTTCACCCGCCCCCAACATTTAAGGCCACCAAAAGGTTCTATTTCTTAAATTTAAAAAAAAATAAAAAATAAAAAGACAAATATGGCGAAAAGTTAACCTTGGTTAAATCTAGGTGATAGAAACTAGAATGCCTTTTTTTTCTTATACCTTCCTGTGTTTTGGAATACTTCACCATTGGCAATTTTCCTTTAAATGTCTTTATTTATCTCTTCTACTACCAGTGAGCATTTGGGGAGTCTCCAGTTTGGGCTATTGTGAATGGTGCAACTTCTGTGAACATTCTTAAGAGCTCATGACTTTTGGTAAATATGCACCTGCACCTCTGTTGACTACACACTGTCGAGTGGGACTCCTGGATCCCAGGGTACACACGTGCACAGCTTTAGTAAAGACAGCCAAACTCGAGCCTTAACGGCACAAGTCCCCCAAGGTTCCCCACCTTCTTCAAAGGGGAACTTCCATGGAGTTGGCTTGCGTGGAGTTGACCCAGCGCGGCTGCACCAGGGACCTCTGAGTCCACCCCCTTTTCCTCTCCTCTTCCCCTCATTCCCTGTGGTTGCAAATATATATTGAGCACCCACTACCTGCTAGGCACGGCGCTTAATTCCTAAAGGGATCTTCAAACACCAGAATCCTCAGAGTATGATTTAAGACAGTTGGTATATTGAGAGTTTTAAAATTATTTATTTTACACATTTATCTTAATTGGTTCACTGCACAAAATGAGGGACCAAGTATGAACCCAGTCACTTTCTTTTCTTTCAAAAATATCTTTAAAACTAAACTAGTGGGTCTGGGTACCCGCTGACACACATCAGTGCTATAGTTCTGACTCAATTTCCTCCCCATCACACACACACACTCTCTCATTCCAGGTATGTGCTTTTCATTTCCTGAGGTGTCGATCTTTTCTGAAATCGTTCACATTTCTCAGCAACCCATCCAAAACAGACCACCTCTGCATAACTGACATATTGGGCCACATACTTCCTGGCTCAACAGGGGCTGTTAAGTGTCCATTATAGGATACTTAACAGCATCCCTGACCTCTCCCCGCTAGAAGCCAGTAGCATCCAACCCCCACCCAACTGTGACAACCAAAAACATCCCCACATTCACCAAGCCCCAAACAATGCAAAGCTGGGGCCCTGTACGAGGACCCCTGGCTATGAGAAAGACCAAGAGTCCCCATCGCAATGGTGAGATGCAGAGTCAGAAACCATTTCCCCATCTGACACATGAAGAAGGGAGATAAGTAATCAAAGTCACCCCACAACAGAGGACTTGGGTCAGAGGTTGGACATCATTCATCCGAGTCAGGTCGCCCTGGGAAAGCCATGATGTTTTCTGGCCAGACTTACGGCAAATCCCATCCAATGTCACCAGATGCCTTCCTCTTCCAAATACCACTGTTAACTCCATGTTTTCAAAAACTTGTTCCTGAACTCCTGGTCATGTCTGGAAAATAAACGCTATTCTACCACACTGAGGAGCTTATGAAACAAGCAACTTTTGAGAGTCACATGAATCAGTTCATCAAAGTTACACTGCAAATTATGGCATCTCTAATTCCCCTTCACAGGAAGAGTCTTCAGGTGTGTTGTTTCCAGAGTCACAGCAGCAACATAATTGGACTGGTATCTGTGATAAGCTTCATCCTAAAAAGACATATCCGTGGATGTGGTTGCCCATCTACACATTTTCCGTTCAACTGAGACACTTCCAGTTGAATTATGGCACTCCCTTACATCCAGAGGGGGAAGGACTTGACCTATTTCTAGTCAATCATCTCCATAGCAACTGTCTGGGGTTTAAGTTGAAACAGCTGTAGCAGACAATCGGCGACCAATTACAGTGTAAATAGGATCCATGTGAGCGTTGACGTCCCTTGAGAAATGGACTTCGGAGAGCAGAGACATCTTTTCCCACCTCTCCCCAGGGACAGAACTAGACTTGTAGTAACAGCTTAAAAATAAAGAAAAGGGGAAAGACAAAAAAAGGTGCCTTTATTCTTGCCAGAAGTGGTTAAATTATGCTGCTTATGCACTCAGAGCCTAGAATAAAGTCGGCGCAGAAAAAGATAATGCACTGTGTAATTATGCACATTCAAGTGTAAAGATGTCAAGTTCACAACTTTACAACTGTTCTCTTAAAAACTAAATGCATTTAGACAAGCAAATTAAAAAGATGGACATTTCTTGAAACATAGTATAAATATGACAGTTACCCTTATAAAAACAACCTGGGAGAAATTTTCAACTGGCACCAAATTTCAACAATGAGAAATTGCATCTGTTCAAATTCATGAAGTATAAATAAAACTGGATGGGAATCAAATGCAACTGATGGAATCAAATGGAAGAGAAAGCACATAATGAGTGAAAAAAAAAATCTCTTTCTTCAGTATCCAATACAAATGCAGAAAGTACAGAACCAGGCTTGAATAAAGAGTAAAAACAAATTCATCATTAGAATAGATGGGTAGTCAAGTTTGACAGCTTATTTCAAATTAAACCCTACATCAGGTACCTTGACTACTTAATAGAACTCATGAGAAAGAAAAATGCATGCTTTTTCACACAGAGTACAAATATTTATGAAACTTAAGGCAGATCTGATATTTTTCAATACTTTTGCTTCAGTTTCTAGTGAAATTCCTCGTGCTAGAATACACTGCACTCTCAAGGCACCAATTGGCATACTCTAAATATTCACTGCATGTCCTTAAGAAAGGAGCACAAACCCTACGCCTGATCACTCATTATAGACAATGTGAAAAAATGGTGCAAGGGACCTCCAGCCTCAAAGAATCCTTAAAAGTGATCTAGTTGACTCATTCTCAGTTGAGTCTTACACAAATATGGGGAAAGTAGATTTGGGGCTTTTTAAAAAAAATGTTTAATTGAAGTATAATTTACAATATTGTATTAGTTTCAGGTGCACAACATAGTGATTCAGTATTTTTATAGATTATACTCCACTTAAAGTTATTACAGAACAATGGCTGCATTTCCCCATGCTGTACAATATATCCTTGTTGCTTATCTGTTTTATACATAGCAGTTTGTATCTCAATCCCACACTCCTATCTTGCCCTTCCTCCCTTCCCTCTCCGCACTGGCAACCACTACTTTGTTCTCTATGTCTGAGAGTCTGTTTCTGTTTTGTTACATATATCCATTTATTTTATTTTTTTAGATTTCATGTATAAGTGACAGCATACAGTATTTGTCTCTGTCTGTCTGTCTGATGTATTTCCCTAAGCACAATACTCTTTAGGTCCAGGATTTGGGGTTTTAAAAAACTCTTACAAACAAGAGAAAATAATTTTTGTACTTTTTAAAAGTAATTTTTTATTTCTTTAGGCAAAGAGGTGACCAAGTAAGTTGACAGTAGTCTATCTTGAAAGCAATCTGACAGTACTCAGGAAAGGCTAAACCACATGCACACCCATCGAGGAGATGGGCTGAGTCCCTTACTGTACAGCCATACAAATGAAT